AGCATTAGGCCATGGAGCCATTCTTGTGCAATAAAAAAAAATGTCCTCCTCCTCTTTAAACTCTTGGATCCTGTAGGGCCTGTTTCGAACGTCGCAGTGCAGAATAACAGCGTTTTTAGCGAGATATGCGGTTGGCAGGGGTGCCGAAATTATCTTATACACGTCAGCACTTTCAGTATCCGAAAAACCTCGGTCCTCCAAGGCCTCCTCCGTACCTTCCCCTCCTCCTCCTGAATACCATACCATCCTCTCCCTCCGTACCCTCATTCCTCCTCCTCCAACCCCTTCCGTCCTCCCACAGTTTCCCAGCTAAATATAGCTGAAAAATTGACGCAGCGTGACCTCAACACCAATTCAGCTTCACCGCTAAGTTTAGTATTGGAAATGACGTCACATGACTTGGTGTCACGTGCACCTATGAACGAATTAAGTTTCAGAGCTAGATTTAGCACGAAAATTGGCGTTACATGACCTCAGCACATGTAAAATTCCCCACTAAATTTACCAAGGAATTAAATTGGTGTTGAGGCCACGTTACGACAATTTTCCCGTTAAATTTAGCGGGTAAATTGTGATCACGCTCCAGTATATCGAAAAATTGCCCGCTAAATCTAGCGGGCAATTGAATTTGTGTTGAGGTTACGGGACAATAATTTTCGCGCTAAATTCAAAGTGGTTAAGCCGACGCCGACAACGCGAAACACAGAAACCTGCGCCTAATAGCGGCGCTAAAAAAAAAAGACAGGCATGTTCTAAGAAACACGCTGCGCATGACCTTGTTGGTACGACGACAGTTGTACGGGAAACCCCCTTAACTTGCTGTAGAGCGTACGTTGTGCAACTCGGGAGGCGTATGCATGAAAGGGCACGTGAGCATGCCCTATCTGTCAGAAACTCACCATCGGGCAATCTCGCTATTCATTGTTACAGTGGCCCTTGCGCGCTAATCTTGAAGTGGTCCTTGCGTGCTAATCTAGGCATATTGTAAGAAAATTTTAAAATAAAGATAGGAGAGAATTATTTGACGCCTATTCCATATGAATCAAAGGCGAGAATAGCTAAGTGCACCGTCGGTACATTTAACTAAAAAAGATTTTTTTTTGTCGGGTGCCTGATTGCGTGTACAACTAGTGCTTCTGTTTTCAGTAAACGTTTAGTTGTAAGCAGCGTTTGGTCCTGTCCCGCCTTTCTCGTACCCACGTATATATTAGGCGCTTTTCGAGTTAAAAATAGCACAAATCGAAATCTATCTCAATGGATGTAATGAGAACGGGATGTTTATCTTAAAGGTTTTACAGCATTTATTCGTCTCCGACGGCGTTGTATTTCCCATGGTCTTGGCGGGAGCTGTGGAGCTTCACGCCTTCTAAGCTTTCGGGGTTGCGACGGTCCAGTACGCAACAGTGCGTAAAGCTTCGATGTTTGCTTTTCCGCGACAGCTGAGAGAAATGTTAAAAAAAAAAAAAAGCTCTGTAATAAACACCTTCAAAGTCATGGATGAATGGCCCGAGAGCAGGCAGCCTGGCAAAATAGCTTTCTCTGTGCTTCAGATATTTCGAGCTAGATGGCGCAACGTGTCACAGCAAACTTGATTGCACTGACGAGATTTGAGTGAATGCATCGGTTCAAACGTGCATTCCACATTCCAATACATTTCAAGATCTCGTAAAAAGGAACACCTTTCAAAGCCTCCCTCGTTTTTGTTCGACCTCTTCCGCATCTGAAAAATGTTTTTTTTTTTTTTTTTATTCACACGGGTGCATCTGTATTCGTAGCAACAGCTTTCGTCACCTATAACGACACTTGAAAAGAAGTTGTAGTCAAATTCCAGATGTTCTTTCAGCTGTTGACGAGCCTTCACTCGGGAATTCAAGTGATCAGCAGTAAGCAAATGAGAGACACATTTCTCCGAAATTCATTGTATGTCAAAACTTTCGATCAAGATGCATTGACAGGAACTCCAGGACACTGCGCTCATTTTAGGAGGTGCCTGAACTGTTCTTCGACGGCCTTGCCAAGACCAAATCCAGTATTTTCTCGATGTTTTCGTCGTTTGAGGAGGATGATGGTCGCCGTGACCGACGTTGGTCTTCAATCGGTAATTCACTGGCATTGAAGAGAAAAAAAAAGAACACTCGTAGACCGGGCATTTCTTCATTCCGTTTTGTTTCTTAGCTGTCCGAAACGTTACAAAAATTTCCACCGCCGGTTTCCATCAAAAAAAGAAAAAGACTAATTTTGCGGACGAACGCTGTTTCTCCAAATCAGAGTTTTTAAAAACGAGGAATGATTTTGAAGGGTTTGGGGAAATATATTGCAACATGCAGCTGAACCTTATCAGACGACGCCGGTCGGCAAACTGACTCGGAGGGGGTGCCGCTAAGCGCTGCAAGAGGCGAAAGCTTGTACTACGAACTGCCAACCCTTAACAAATTGCTTTCAGCCCTACTGAAAAAAATAGGACACTACATAAGAACTGATATGAAATATCCAAACATTTATATGCGACATATAAAACTGGTGTAAAATATCCAAAAACATTTACGCGATATATGAAATTGATATGAAATGCACAAAAACTGATATGCCACGGAAAATAACTCATATGCAACGTTTGCCAACTGATATAAAAATGCGCCCAATAAACATTTCAGAAATAAATTCATAAAACTTTTTTTCAGTATACGACGTGCCGCGCGGGCAAGCAAACGCGTGATTTGGAACCGCCATGGAAGTGCTTGATTAATTGGCTTTCAAATAATTACGGAATGAGCGTTTATTTTGTGTTAAGAGATTCATCCCCTGAGTCATTCAAAATACTCTCAAAGGTATGACATTACTGAAAAAAATCAACAATCTGGGAATATTTGTTTATTGCTTAGGCGATCACCGAGAAAATGCGTACCTTCAAAACGACCTGTATAAAAGGCAGAAACGCAGAGCTCAGCAGCAGTAGGGAGGAAGTGGCCGAGTGGGCTCACGCGTCTCAACTCGGAGCGTGGAGCGAAAGCTTCCGCTGGGAACCTCCTGGGTTCGATCCCCGCCTCCCCCGCCCGTTTCGATCTGGATGAGTTTCGTACCGGCACGCGTTCGTGTGATCACTACTGCGTGATGCACGTTAAAAATCCCAGGTTAGCGGTTGTACCGCACTGGCTAAATTTCTCATCTGCAGCTAAGAGACCGATTACCCGTTGAGGCGCATCTCCATCAAGGCTGTATAAACATAAAGAGCAAGCCAATTTTTTTTTTCAGCAGCAGTCATCGGGTGTGCTGTTGCATTCACGCTTGTTGTGCCGTGTATGTGTATGCGCTCAATGTATATGTTAAGCTGCTAGTGGTATGTGTAATGTACCTGCATGTGTGTATATTAATGGCGCCCAAAGAGTAATAGTGGCGGGAGCAAATAAAAGTGCTTTGTAACGCGCGAATTGGGCGGTACCTAACGCCACCTAGCCCAGCTGAAACGTACATGTGACATATAAAACTGATATGACATACCCAATAAGTTCTGACAAGAAAATGTGTCCATAAGCAATCTAAAATAAATTCATATTTTTTTTTCAGTAGGGTGGTTAAGGGTCTTCCCTCGTATATGAGAAGTATAGCCATTGCATTATGACAGGTAAACGGGGAGTTTTAACGCGCATCACGAAGTAGTGATACGCTACCGCGCACCGTTACGATGCTCATCAAGATCAAAATAGGCAGGGGTGTCGATTGAACCTAGGATGCCTGGGTTCTGCCTTGCGAGCTTTCGCGAAACCCGTTCCTATCTATGGTGACTATTCACAACACAAACATCGAGCCAATGAGTCATGAGTAAACGCCGTGTAGCGAAACTTCTCTATATGACGTAAAAGCGAAATAGCTGAATTTGGGAGTAGGTGTCGATCAGCACAGCCAATGCTTCAATCGTTCCTTTGACTGTCAGTGGTAAATTATATATTGACGCAGAAAGGGCGGGCTTGATACAAAAAAGTGTTTGCATATTTGACCTACTTTGACCGTTTATAAAGCGGAAGCAGATCTTAATTCACGACAATTTTCAGTTACCATAAACTGTCAAGTAAATCTCCAGTCAATTCAGATTGTTGGACAGGAGCTCTGACGCAACTGTGATAATCACTGATTTTCCTTAAAAATAGCTTAACACGTTAATTGCACCTCTGAAGTAGTAATCCAAATTAGAAGTTACTCTTATTGTTTTCGCGAAGTTATAACATTTTCAAGTGCGGACCGAGAGCCTGAGGGGCTCTATGTTCGAAACTGAAAACGTGACGTCGGATTAATAGGGGGGCAGTATATCTTGTTACTGATGGGTAAAAAGAAATTTGATGACATAATTAAAGCCATAAAAACTCACGCCAAAGAAAAGAGCACACATTTTTTTTTATTGTCTGCCTGCTCGATTTTTATGCTGAAAATCATGGTACGACAGATCGCCGGAGAGAGCGGGAAAAGTTGAATGTTGGTTTTTGCATAACGATCCTTTGCCGTTCTATCGTAGCTATTTTAAATTTACACATAATAAACACCTCGCTAGGAGGAGTAAAGCCGAGAAAGTTCGAAAATGTGCTTAGTTTGGGTAGCTCAAGGGAACACCTATTGCGCAAAATACGAGGTACAATTGTAGGAAGTAGCTGGTGCGAGCGCTTCAGCTCTTGCTAAAGATAATTAGCGTTACAACTGCGGAAACCCTCGATCCCATCCCGAAATGTGTTTGACACGTGTGCAAGAGAGACAAAAGAAATACGTTGATAATGTTACCTTTAAGTCGATGCCAACCGAATGATGCCGCAATGGATGACAGATTAGAGTAGCTCATTGTTGAATGCAAGCCTTCCATCTCATGCCTTAAGAAACGTCATCGTTTTCCGGAAAATTACTGGTTGCGATCAAACGCATCGCACGCATCCGACGCGTTAGTCGCTATCGGCATTATTATCGCGAGTCTGATAGCGACTGGTGCGTCGGATTTCCTATTTAATGAACGTCTCGAATCCCTCTGGGAGCAGTGTATGTTATGAACAAACCTCAACCATGTCAGTCACAATCATCTTGCTCGTTGTCTTTGTGACACTTCTGTTCTGGTGAGAACCTCTTCCGAATTTGGTGCTTTAAAATTGGCTCTAGATTTGCAAAGCTTTGAAAACGTTATGTATGAGGACTCTTTTATTCCGCTCGAAGCCAACTTTTGTCCTAGTAATGCTTCACCATAAACAGGCTAAGATATTTTTATTTAGTGAGACTCGGTATAGCTTTTTGGGGTTCGAATACATGAAAATATAAAAAATCGAGGATGGGGTCCGTAAACAGAACTTCTTTCATCTTTCAAATCTGTTTTTTGGCCCCCGTCCTCGTTGTTCGATTCATTCATGTATTCCTATATATTCATCAACACGGTAGTTTTTAATGACTTTTATGGTCTTGTGGTGCATGAAACATCTCCAGTCAAACGACCACATTTCATATTAAAAAAAAACAAGATGCCATTTCCTGCCCTTGAGATGATACGTTAACATTGAAACGCCGTCTTTCAATTATCGTATACGTACTGTACGAGAAGATTATAGCGACCTCATTATTTATGATATCGTGTTTAGCTAACCCGTTTAGAGCACGGTGTTTTAATAAAACGTCAACCCTTTGGGAAAAATAAAATGACATGTTTTTTATCGTAAATTAATTAAGGGCACACATCCGTGCATTTATTAAAAGGGACTGTACAATCGCGCCAAATGAAATATGGTAAATGCATCTGTGTATCCGTTTCTTGAAATTTATTTCGTCTCGTGGATTTTCTAATTTAACTAGTTTTTTTTTCTGTTCTGACAATAATTACCATCTGCAGTGTGCGACACAGTCAGCGTGAATGCAAGATCATTGTATTTTTTTCATTCAAGCAACACAGTATATTGCCACCTTTTACAATAGCGCACCACACGAGTTCAATGCAATTTAGCAGTGCTAATGACAGATCGCCCGGAAAAAATGGTAATTTTGCGCCAGTAATTTTGTGTTGAGCTGTGTATATCTTGCATGGCTTGTCGGTGATATCTTTTTTGTTAATTTCATTGTGGACAAATACACATTGAGGTGAGGTCTATGTCGTCAACCATTCTTTTGCACTTTAATTTAACAAAGTGTATGAACAATTTTATGCAAAATAACTTGATCTAGATCTATTGAAATGCGTTAAAATTCTGGAGTGTCAAACGTGCATTTCGTTCGCGTAAATTTGATCAAGAGGATTTAGCGTTTTCATTTTAAAATAAGTGGTATATAGGTTAATTGTTGTATGTTCCAATATCAGTGCATATCACTGTGGCTTTAAACTAAATTTGTCCTAATTGTTACCTGGCAAAGATGGCGACTTTGAACAAATATGGCTACTATGTATATTTCAGGAAAGTGCACAGGACCTTTAGTTTCTGGAACGACAAAGGCATACCACATGTTGGAGCTTTTGACTACCTGCTCTACGCGTACGACATTTTTACAAAGGTGGTATTACTTTCTAATAATTTTTAATTCGTCTATGATATCTGCTTTTCCCTATAAAAAATTCCCCTTTCGGTGATACTTTAAATTATTTACTATAAACATGTTATTATTTTCAGCCCATGTACGAGGCTGTACGCAAGCACTACAAGCGTCATGGACGATTTTACGGGTAAGTGTTCAATTCCACTTCTGCAATCTACGAGTTGTAAAAAATTTCGCATTGAGCTACTTTCACCTGGGCGTAAGCACACCGATGGGGACAGTGTGCAAGCGAAGATAGCGTAACTGTGGCCTTTGATAAAAAAAAAGATCTAATGAAAGTATACTGAGTTTCCACATTGAGAAAACAACCCAGTAAATGCACTGAAAACGTATATTCGGCCTGATAATGGTATAATAAAATATCATATAATTATACACACCTTAGCAGCGCGACCGGTGGACGCGCGGACCGGAACATTGAAGTACAAGTGTTCTAAAAATACAAGGTGCCCTCTAAAATAAAAGTTGCAGTTACTTTTTTTTATTTGGTCCTATCAGAGAAATAAAATACGGACCGCCATAAGCTCAGTACTTTGCCAAAATGTAGCGCAAGCGGTTCGACTATATGGCAATGTTTTAAAACTTATCGTTATGCCGTTAAAGCATATTATAAGCGATTAAAAAAACAATCAATGGAAGAATAGTGACCGGCATACTCCACAAAAATATAGAGATGAAAGTGTGTGCAAACGGGCTATATTTTCATATTAAAATGTAAAATTTTTTTTCATATAATATTCGAATAAAATGACGGCTACTCCTGAAACTTTGACATTTCGCTCACACAGCTAGCGCTACAATTGGGCGGGAATCGGGCGTTCAACAATGCGTAATATATTTCTAAAAAAAAAAAAAAAACTGCAGTTTTTTTGTTTTTGTTTTTTGACGCGTTGTATACATTATAAGTCTAGTTCAGAAGAAAAAAATTATACACATACATTTTAAGTATACGTCGATGTTTCATGTGAGTACGAGATTAGTATAACTCATTTTAATAGAATTTTACCAATGCAGAACAGTTCCGACATCCTATTTCAAGACAAACACGCAACTACTCTGCATAGTCGAAACTTAATTTTGTTTTTCTGATGTCACCGTGACTGCGTCATTTGTTATATAGCTGCCCCTTTTTTGTGATCGGCGTTTACATAAGCAACACTTTATATGATTTCGATGGCACCTTGACTTCATCGACATTAAGCAGGGGGTTGCTTTAGAGAGAACCAAAATATTAACGTGCGCTAGTACTTCGGAAAATTTGTGTTCAATTGACTCCTAGTTTTACAGTCAACACTCGTAGATTTTTGTTTATCTTGTAGCAAGGTAGAGATGATTCGCACGGGGTTACTATAAAGGGAGCCGTTTTACTGCAATGAAAAAAAGAATAACAACTTCGACGGCGTTGCTTTTCTACTTCAAGCACAGTTTCTTACGTGTAACTTATAACTTTAGAAACCATAATTTTGGATAGTTCAGCTGTTATTGCAATAAAAAGGACTACATTTCGCTGGAGCGGATTCATTCGTTTTAGTGCTTATCATTCTTGTTGAGTAAGCAATTGGTCTGTATGCCCCAGAAAACGTCTTGTAGAAACAAAAAATTATATTATATTAACGCTTGATATTATAATTTCCACAGATCCTACCAGGGCCTCGCTCCCAGCCTGTATGTTGCAGAACCTGAAGTCCTCGCCGAAGTATTTGTCAAAAAATTCAAGTCATTTGCGGACAGAACGGTATGGTGACACGTCTAGGCAATCGTATTTAATTAGCTCTGAATAAATAGAAATGACACATCAAAAAGAAATCACCATGACAATGTGTGGGCATACATGTAGCTTAGCCCCATGTTGTAGCCCAAGAAACTTGGTCCAAATCGCGAGCTAAGAGCATACTTTTCGTGTAAGTCTCGTTAAAGTATGAGGCGCTGCATGAAATGAGTCATCCGCGTTAAGTCCTTATTTCGAACTATGTTTCTTCAGGCTTTGTCCCTTGAAAAGCACCACGAAAGAGCCCAAGGACGCAGGTGATATAGCAATCGGGCACTAACTAACGCCTTCGAGAAAAGACGGTTATAAAATTAAACGAATGAAAAAAAACAACACAATAAAACAGGTCGAAAAGAAAACTCGGAGAACTACAGAAAAAAAAGGATACAAACACAGCCCTCACTGAAAACTCAACATTCTACTCCAGCACAAAAGAGCAAGGAAACAACACACGGTGTAGGTAGGAACTAAGCACGCGACCCGATCAAATAGCCCCAGCATGTCGACAGGCGATTAGAGAAATCGCGTTTTTTTTTTTCAATGCCTTTTTTACTGAAATTTATTGCAACCAATTAGAAAGGTTGCGCCTTTTTGTTCCATGCTAGGCAGCTAGGAGTACCAAACGTGTGCCAGTTATTTTGGCGTTCTACGGGGATATACACAAACGCGGGCTCCGATGTCACGCGATTGTTGTCGCGTTGCTGACGGCGCATTTGCAGTATCAAATCTGTTTTCTGTGCAAGCACAGTGCTCGCACCTCGTGTGAAGAAACGCCAACTTGTTTGTAAAAAAAAATAAAATAAACACGCGTTCACCTATTTAAAATCTTTGGTAAAAAACTAAACAAAAAAAAATTATCTCCACATCTTAGATTGGAAAAGCGCCAGAAAACAAGGACAACAGAAGGAATAGACAAAACGATGCGTTACTTTCAACTGAATTTTTATTCGGAAAAACAAACATATATATATATATATATATACACTCAAGCACCCAAGTAGCGCATCGTTTCGTCTATTCCTTCTGTTGTCCTTGTTTTCTGGCGCTTTTCGAATCTAAGGTGTACCAACTTGCCCAACTCCACATTTTTTTATCTCCACATTGCGGTGTGTTCGAGTACACTATTTAAATACCTGGCTCGTTTCCCTTTTTACAGATCGGACAAAAGCTGGGGAACAGTCTGAGACAGAAATCCATCTTTAATCTCTCCGGAGACGAGTGGAAGCACGCCCGCTACATCCTTTCGCCCGCCTTCACGGGAAACAAACTCAAGGCAGTACGTGAGACAATGGTCACAAACAGCTTTATCAGAGCAGAGCACGGCGTATTGTATTTACGCTTTTTGCCTCGTGATTAGTTCTTCGACGCTCTTATTGGCAAATCCCAAAATCTGATTGGCTGTGAAGGAGTAATATGCGATGTTCGGGTCTTGCCGTGTTGGGCGTTGCTTAGAGGGAAGATAAAACTCTCGAAGAAGACGTCTGAGTTAGGAGAACACTTCAATGAGGAGAGCAAGGTGTTCTAAAGTTCGTCGTTTGGCTCATCGGAAGACGAGCACGCCAATCAATGGGCGACGTCGACAACGCGTAGATAGTGCACGATGATGACACAGCCAAGCTCGCGCTCCGATTGGTCGAGGTCGGATGTAAACAAGCTCACGCGGACGCATTTGGTGGGAAAACAAACGCACGAGGTGCGCAAGGACCAGACGGACTTGCACGCCATATGCGGAGCGCAAGTTCGTCTTCTGCTTGCGCAGGGGTTGCACTGATGTCTGAACGCTAGACTTTGAGGGATAGTCCGTAGACCTCAATTCTAGCTGCCTTGAGGTCTACCCACAATCTTTCCAATCGGTGCCCATCAGAGCTCGGTGTTCAGGCGTCACCGCGACCCCTGCTCAAGCAGCAGACGAACTTGCCCTTGTCTTATATCTTTCTGTCCCGTGAAATCAGTTATCGCACTTACCTTGGACGCAAGTGTTTATTTTGCATCGCATACGAGCAGCGATTGCCGAGGGCATCCTGCCATCCTATCTGCCGCTTGCTATCTCTCTGGAGCGTCTTAGCGTTGTCGACGGCATGCCCGAGCCAGTTTAGTGGAGTGCAAGGGTCATCGGACCCCGCTGATGACGTCACTTTGGATAGTTTTTTCTCTCCGCTCTCGCGCTTTCCCACCCTCGTCGCACCGCAACGGTCGAGTCTACGTCGAAATTTTAATCAGCTATTATTACTCTTCTACTAATAAGTTAAAAAAAAAAAACCTTTAGACAGCATTTTTATAGTGGGTATGTTAACACTTTTACGGTTTCTTCGAATTTGAAGCCCTATTCAGATTTTTTTCTAAGCTCTCGGTGATTGCAGAGGGGAAATTAGTCAACCATGGACTACATTCCCTCCAAAATGTTTTGCAGGCAGTTCCGAGGATTGTTAAGGTCACCGAGAGGTTGACGGCCCGCTTAATAGAACATGCCAAGAACGGAACTCCGGCTGCTGCAAACGAGTGAGTACACGAACATGATTAAAATATTCTGAATTCGGATTAGAGCATAGCTTCTCCAAGTTCAGCAAAAGTGAGCGCTCTCCGTTATTTCTCTAACGGCGGAATAGTCGTCTTGGCCTTTTTATTTTTGTAATCTAACTTGCGCGTCTGCCAGTATAACAATGTTTTTAAAGGCCACGGTCTCACAGAGAAACAGAAAAATTTGGGTTGTAGCTCATTCTTGCTGATTGCGTTGCTGTCCACACCATATACCTGTTCCTGAAAAATGCTTTTCGTCTCGGCGAAATGCCCAGGCTCCTCCATAGCTGCGCGAGAGACACGACAGCCGCCGTTGTGTTCAGCTTCGACATGGACAGTCACGTGGACAAGAAGCATCCCCTGATGGTCTGCTTCGAGAAGCTGTTCGCTGAAGTGGTTCCCAGCTGGAAAGTGCTGCTCCTGTGTAAGTGCACCTGGGCGCGAGAGCTGCCTCTTACCTACCCTCCTCGTTCTACAAGTAGCGAGTTGAGGAGAGAGTATGCATACAAGGCGTTCTGGCACAAACCCGAAATATCATTAGATTTACTAAACTCCCTACAGGACGGCACAGCGATATGAGATGACGCAATGAAGACCTGCACCCCGATGCCAGATGAAAACAACCAAGTAATAAAAAAAAGGACGAATGAAGGAAACGTCGAAGAATCGTCATTAAAACGACGTTGAACGAATTATGCGATGATAAGTTTTTTAGGATAAGTTTTTTTTATAAGTTTCCTATATTTGGAGGTTAAGACGTATGACATCAGAATGAATGACAGGGCAAGAAGTACAAAGCGTCGCTCTCGTAGTCTCTGGCCCGGACTCGCCGCCTTCCGTCGTGTTTTGGTGATTTGGCCTCGCGTGCACGTTAGAAGCGAGCTAGACGCCTGAAGGCTATCCGAGGTAGCCAACTCGCACCCAAATAGGAACAGTTGAAGGCATCCCGGCCGATCTTATTCTTTCACTGATAATAGGGGGAAACGAAAACGTAATGCTGAGATGTTTGGTGTTTGTCTCCGTGCTTCGTCTCCGGTTTTTTTTAGAAAAATGTAGAACGTATATTAAGCATGGTCTAAATCGTCAGATTAGTTCTGGGTTAATAGTACACAGATACCTAAATTTCAGTGTCTAGATTTTTATTATTCAATGATTTCTTCTATTAATTCCCGAACACTTTCTGCCAACATGTGAAGAACAGTTTATCAGGTGTGTTTTACTTTTACCCCATTTCTGTGGTGTCGTTTTGCAGGTGTGATGCCGTGAAAATCATTGCAGGAATATTATCAATTAGAAAATATAATAACCACAACAATCGCATAACTGTACTACTGATGATTCTCGGCATTTACATAATCTCTGTAGAACCGAACGCATGTCATCATTTTTCTTTGAATTTCTATTGTACTATAAAAAGAAGGAAAGTATCCCTGAAAACAACTCCAGCAGTTACGTGAGGTTGCCGCACTACCTTATTATATTTTAATTTCAGCAACTTTCGAACATCGAAAAAGAAGGCTAAATTGAATACATTCCTTAAAACGTTAAAAGTACAAACGATATATTTCATACGAGGAAAATTATTTAATACATTTAAGCAGGCTAGCTCGCGATGTAGCATCTTTAGGTCGCAGCATTCTCTGGAACAAAGCTTTAGACGAAGAGTAAATCGTTTCGGATATAACACGCAAATATATCTTTTTTTATGATAACTATCATATAATAACAGAAGATGAATATTTTTGTATCCAGTTACGATGCCCACCATCTTCAGGCATCTCCGGCCGAAGATCGAAGCCAAAGGGGACACGGATGACTTGATTCATTTTGTGGGGCTGATGGCCGATGACCGAAAGAGCAAACAAAAGGTGAACATTTCTTGTGTTTTTTTTTTCTCAATTTAATATAAAATTATTATTCAGTCTCTTAAACAAAAAATAATAATGATCCCCAGTTAAGCTCTTTCCTTTTTGCACAGGAACCATGCGATGTTATATACCTAAGGTTATGGTTTTTTCGTGTTTTTTATTTTACCTTGAAACAAGCAAGTATGCTTTCTTTTTTTTTTTCTTTTTTTTTCTTTTTTTACGGCAAAGCTTTTTATTCCTAGGTTCTAGTATATCAAATGCGGGATCAGATCAATACCACCTAGAGCAGAAGGCCTGCGCGTTTCCTCCTCTAAACGTCATCACTAGTAGATCCCCTCAGCGCCCCCTAGGTAGCGCGGATGAGCACCACCGTCTGCTACATCGTCTGCTACATCATCTGCTAAATTACCTGCTTCAGCGGTTTGTGTAGCACATAATGAAACAGATCCTCACGCCGAGTGTGTGTTGCTATAGCATACGATCAAGTTCGACGTTCACGTGAAGCGTCAAATGCATGAGTGAAAATGCCTTACTGCTGTGCGAAGGGCTGCAAAGCCCTTCGCTGGACGCTGGACGCTGGCACAGGACGCCGTTTTTGAGGGCGCTGTTCATACTCCGTTCACTCTTAAGCAGAACATGCAGACAATGCCACAAGCACGAGAGCTCGAGGTCGCGGCTTTGAAGCGCCCTTCCGCAGAACGAGCGCGCGCGCTAGAAATGCACTTCTCAAAGCCAGGAGCGCGTGCTAGGTCGCGCTCCTGGCCGAGGGAGCGTTCGCATGCACGTGGCAAATGAACTGGAAGCTGGCACCAGGCTCGTGCTCAGCAGTCGATCACACAGCTGTGGCCGCCAGTGAATGCGACGTAGTTGGGACGGAGCCCCTACTCTCGTCAAGTCTCAGCCTGTTTGCCGCTTGAAGCGGGTCGGGGATCTCCTAACAAAATGTCCTACGCAGGCCTTGCCTTCTGGGTGGTATTGGTCAAACCGAGCGTAGACCAACAATTTTGTACAGTTAATGCTGCCGGCGCCGCACGCGGGTGCCATCCCCACGCGCGGCGTCTCTCTCCCACCTGACATTCTGCAATGCTGCGCGCTTTTCGGCGGCCATATGCCGAAGATTGCGCCACTGGACTTCTCAGTTGGACTTCAGACTTCACATGGGTCGCACTCGTATTATACGTTCCGAAGAGAAGCAGCGGGAATAGGAGGAGCGTCCAGGCGCCTAGAAGCGAGAATGGGCACGCCGTCCACGTGAAACTGCCGTTGCTACTGCTCCTAGCCCGACATCAAATCCTACCAGAGCGCCAGCTTCGCTGGACTTCCCTCTTCACGGAGTCGAAGGGCTCTCAACGTTTTTAGGGGCGAAGTTCCATTAGGGTCTAGCCTTGTCTGTCCGGTGTCCGTGCTCACATCGATCTCGCTGGTGCTCGTGCTCGTGCTCGTGAGCTCACGCGCTCACGTGCTTACGAGCATGTGAGCACGTGCTGACGTGCTCGTGTAGGGAAAAAAAATAAAATATGACGAACAGAAATATTTGCGCAGTCGATAGGATTAAAACCTGTGCGGGGAAACCCCAATGGATTTCTAGTTCATCGCCTTAACCACTCGGCCACGACTGCGGGACGAGTAGGCGGCTCTGAGATGTGCTAGTAAATCAAAAGCTGGGGATGTCATGGATGAAACGTTGCATGTAGTTGCTGAATGTCTATGGAGGAGAGGGCGCTGCGGTCAAATGCGTATATAATAGCGTTAAACTTTGCATACATTGGCTCAACGTTTATAGACGAGAGGGCGGTGCTTTCAAATGCTGAAATGCATATATAACCATGCTCCATATCACAAATTTTCTTTGTGACATGGATGAAAACGAACGAAAAGCTCGGCATGCTGCGGCTCAGCGTCGACGCAGACAAGCACCACCAGTGCTTCGTCCCAGTCAACATCATTCACCACGTGAAGATGCGGTCAATTTTTCTTTGGGGTGGAGGGGGGGGGGGGGGTGTATTTTGTTCTCACAGATTCGGTGTCACGTTGTGGTGTCGGTAAAAACATTTGCTTTACTCCGGATTTACGTAGAAAATATGACATGGGCACGAGAAACGTGCAGGCGACCGTCATACAAACAAGAAACAGGCCTCCAACAGTAAATAGAGAGTGTATGCATTTCATTTGATGCATTTGCAGTGCGGCAGCGGCCTTGAGAATGTTGTTAACTAGTGTCGTGCATGTGTGTCGCATTTTAACATTGAAACATCGATCTCTTTTGAACGTTGTACAGAAAGAAGACGACATCCTGCAGATGTTCCTCGACAGCGGGTATGTGGATAGCAACGGGAACGTAGTCCCAGCCGTGAAACCTCCTCCCGATGGCGAAAAACGTAAGCGAATTCAAACAAATTTTAGTTTTCATCATGTTAATGACCCTTTATATATATTAGGGACATGTTATGTGTCTAGACAGGTGATCGTTTTATCTATTTTTATTCTAAACTCAAATATAGGTGATATGATAAAATTCTTAATGAACGCAGCAAGTCGCCGTTCAGTTTATACATTATGTGTTGTTTATTTTTTTTGTGTATTGTTGAATCTATAACTGATGGCACTGAAGAATTTTATTCGAGCGAGGGATTTTCTTCCCACAAGTGAACAGACAAATTGTCTACTTACGCAACCCATAAAGTAAAACAGAGCGACAGCTGACGTAAGAGGTCGGTGCTAATAAGGTATCATTTAGATGCACATGAATTGAGGAAATGGTAAATGTGCATGCTCGCGTCATAGAATTCGCATAGGCATTTCGTATTAGACCGAGTAACAGACCGGACGAAGATGCCACGGACTTTTAGAATTAATGTAGGTGTATTTAGTAGAGGGCATTTCAGCTGTCTGGGTAAGAGGGGGGTATGTTTTTGTACGTCACTTCGGCAGAAATAATCACATGTACTAAACGAAAAGCGCCAAATGAACATGGACAAGGATGTAGACAAGACAAAGTTCATTATCAAATAAAGGTTTATTGAAACAAGCACAAAGTATTAATACATTATTTCTGGCTGCTGGTTGAGAAAATACAACTCTGTATTTGTCAGGTGAATTGACGGGGAACTAACGCACTTGCTTTGAGATAATATAGTAAAGGTGAAGGCGAGCTGGTGAATGTTAACCATGTTGAATAACGTGAAAATGGGGCAGAAGTGAACAAATAAGTCGAAAGAACAAAAAAAAAAACACAAAAAAAAAAACAGGACGACGTCTTAAACTTAGCCACCAGGTTTATTTAGCCCGCCTTCTTTTATAGCCCACAATCAGCCACCACCAACACAAACGGGGCCACCTCTAAACAGTTCAAACGCCAAACCCTCCAATCAGCCACAACCTACACAAAGGGACAACTTCTAAGCAGTCCAAACGCCAAAGCCTCCAATACGCAAAGTAGTACTATGGACGGCCTCCATTCTGATATATATACATATATATATATATATATATATATATATATATATATATATATATATATACATACATATATATATATATATATATATATATATATATATATATATATATATATATATATATATTTATATATATACCAGAATCCCGCATTTGGACAAAGTTGCAAAAGATATATGTATTCAATATAAAAGGCCAGATAACCGAGGTGTCGGACAAAACTTTTTCCGATGACTTTTTAAAGCGACATTGCAGAGATGACCAAATAAGTCGAAGAAACAGAAAATGGCAGGACGACGTCTCAAACTCAGCTACCAGGTTTATTTAGTTTTCTACCAGGTTTATTTAGATTTCTTCTCGCTTCATCGTTTAATGTGACACGAGCAAACGCGTAACAGTGGGCCTCTCATTGGCTTCACATGACACCAGGTATAGTTGGGTTATACCCAACCACATGTCCCAAAAGCTGGTTTTATGATAAGAATGGCAGTAATAATATTATATTTAATTATTTCCATAGTATTTATTGCATTGGTGTCGGGATATATTAAACTTTTAAGCGAGAATTTAGTTGAGTAGGCACCCGCTAAACGGTAAGCATTTTTCCGATTAACTTCTTTTTTTGCGGCCGTTCTTTCTTTGATTGAAAGAAAAGGAGAACGAAATCTTCTCACTTGACTGACGAAGAGCCTACCAGGCTCGAAACGTTTCATCAATCTCACTTTTTTGGCAACCTCCTCGGCTAACTCCTTTAAGGGCTAATATTTTGTTGAGTATATATATATATATATATATATATCTAGAGAGAGAGAGAGAGAGAGAGAGGGAGAGAGAGAAAGAGAGGCAGAGCGAGAGAGAGATTTATCTTCGTACTTTAAACTGCATTGTATTTTGCGCGGTTTAGTTTGAGGCCATAAATTTTACCTGAGATTTATTCCAGCGGCATTCAATATTTATTTACACCTCCATATTTTTATCACAGATACTGGCCACTTAGAAGCCGGTAGATGCGTTCACTTTCTTAACATATTTCTTCTAGAGACGCATTCGCTTGCGCCAGTATTTTCACTCTCTGCAAAAGCCACGTTTTGGAAATGCGCCTTGCCCGCGCATGGACAGTCTCACCAGACGACTGCGTGCTGCGACGCCATACACGGCACGGCGTTGTTGTCGGAAAAGCTCTAAGCTTTTCTAACGTATGAACATGCTCGTTGCATTTTTGAATCTAACGGATAACGTACTTACGTAACGTATTTGGAATAACGGGTAATGTAGTTACGTTATTCATAACAACTTCTTGTTATGAAAAAAAGTACACTTGGCTAATTTTTTGAGTTTCTGGACGCCAAGAAATATAATCTCTCCAACTCAGCCCACGTACTTCAAAAGTGTTTTCTCACTTTTCTCAGTTGAAACCGTGAACAGATAAGGTATTTATGTCAAGTTTCTGCAAAGTCATAATATTTCCTGACGTATGGTATTCATGTATAGCGATCGCGTCAACACAATGAAGCGATTTAATAAATAAACAAAAGGTGGCGCAAAATTAACGTGCGTTACTTTTTGTCTGTGAAGGTAAAGCGTTGCTTTATATGAGGAAACGAATGTCCGTAACGCGTTTCTTTTATCTGCAAGCAAGGAGTAACGCATCTCGTTAGTTTATTTCGGCAGCGCTTACAACTGTACTGTCAACTCGGCGATGACCGCGAAATGGCGCCACAGCGAGGTTTTTATCTTATCTTATGAAAAGAGTGCTAATAGCCGGGTGAGACTGAATATCGCACAGTTAAACATCCGAAAGATAGCATAACGCGTCGGAATTTTGGCTTGACGCGACCGGGCACGGCTTATCACACCCTCATGTGAACACACGTGTTGCGGTGATAGGCCGCGCACGGTCCGGTTAGGCCTTCTTTTCAACGCGTCCTGAGACCCGTGGAATGTTTGGGTCGTGCGTGCGCACCATCCCACCTGACTTCCAAGAATCCCCTTGTCTGAGGCCTACAAGAAGATAACGGGAAACCTGCGACGACTCTCTTTCGGATGGCTGAGCTCGAGCCCCTGGCCAGCCGCGTGTGCGACCCACTTTGGAAACTCGGTTCCGAGGATAATGAAAACGCTGTCATACGTGTAGCAGCAGCCCATTCGGCTCAGCGAGAAATATGTTGAGAAGTTAGACACATCTAGAGTCACCGAAAGCCTGAGGGAGGCAAGGCATATTTTCACAATTTCAGCCTCAATTTACCTTTGGTTAAAAGATAAATGTGGGCAATAAAAGCAAAACTTAAAAGAAAAAAAAAAACGTGTTTGCATAACGACGGCGTTTTTGCTGCCAAGGGATTTCTTCTGCGTGTCATCTGCTTTCTTTCGCTGGTCCGACATACCTTCGGACGCTGCTCCCGACGCCATCTATCAATATGCGCGCCAAACGCACCCCGCAACTCGACTCCGTCGTCTGCGTCGCCATTTGCCGTTGACTCTGGCAAGTTTGTTGGCCCTATCATTTACAGAATGGGAGCTATGCTATGTACATTTACAAGAAAAAAGTGAAAGCCGTTTACCACTGCCTGTAACGCCGAATTGGAGCGCAGCTCTTGAGGAGGAGGAGGGGAGGGCACTGGGGGCCACGTGTTTTCGGGGGGGGGGGGGGGTCACGTGACCTTGGGAGGGGGGGCACATGGGGGCAAACACGTGCCCCCCTCAGAGGTCACGTGACCTCGGGAGGGGGTCACGTGACCTCGGGGTGTCACGTGACTCCCCAGCTCACGTGACCAAAATTTTTCCGCTATATTTAGCGGGGAAAATTTTCCGCTAGATTTAGCGGGGAAATTTTTTCCGCTGGATTTAGCGGGGAAGTTTTTTCCGCTAGATTTAGCGGGAAAATTTTTTCAGCTAGATTTAGCGGGGAAATTTTCCGCTAGATTTAGCGGGGAAAATTTTCCGCTAGATTTAGCGGGAAAATTTTCCGCTAAGCGAGGCAATTTTTTCCGCTAGATTTAGCGGGGAAATTTTTTCGGCTAGATTTAGCGGGGAAGTTTTTTTCGCTAGATTTAGTGGGAAAATTTTTTCCGCTAGATTTAGCGGGGAAATTTTCCGCTAGATTTAGCGGGGAAATTTTTCAGCTAGATTTAGCGGGAAAATTTTCCGCTAAGCGAGGCAATTTTTTCCGCTAGATTTAGCGGGGAAATTTTTTCCGCTAGATTTAGCGGGGAAATTTTCCGCTAGATTTCGCGGGGAAATTTTTCCGCTAGATTTAGCGGGGAAATTTTTTCCGCTAGGTTTAGCGGGGAAATTTTCCGCTAGTTTTTGGCGGGGAAATTCTCCGCTAGATTTAGCGCGGAAATTTTTCCGCTAGATTTAGCGGGAAAAGTTTCCGCTAAATTTAGCGGGGAAATTTTTTCCGCTAGATTTAGCGGGGAAATTTTTTCCGCTAGATTTAGCGGGGAAATTTTTCCGCTAGATTTAGCGGGGAAATTTACCCATAATGCACCGCGCGGTTACGCCGACGGCGACGCCGACGGCGACGCCAACGGCGACGCCGCTCAAGTCGGAAACGGGGGCCTAAGAGCTGCGCTCTAAAAAACGACTTGTGCAGTACAACGTTGACGAAAATTTTAGATTTCTACATGCTGGCGTCGATATTTACGGTCCATTTTAGATCGACCCTGGTGACTTGGGTCACTCTATATATTCCTCGTGCGCTGGCCTGGGAGCGCCGTGAAAACGGACTCGTGAGGACTTGCTTTGGGCAGTACAGGCGCGTGGGTCTCAAACTGCCACTCATGTTGAGGCAGTATGGTGCGGACCGCGAAATCACAAAATAAAGAAATAAAAATTCGAACGCGGTCGAAGCACGGGTCGAAGCAAAGACTCTGACAGCGTGAGGCAAGAAACGAGGCTTTACGTGTTCCAAAAAAAAAAGAAGAAAAAACAACATAAAAACAAGTGTCAGGACGTTAGACATTTTGATTTCATCAGGCAGAGATAAAAATTGCGTACCCCAGGGGGGGGGGGGGGGGGGGGGTCATGAATTCGGCCCTTTTGGTTGTCTTGCGGCATTGTTTCTTCAGAACTGCACATAAAAATAAAATCTCAGCGAAGGTGCAATAAATAGTACGAGACTCAGTCAGGGGACTTTTCTACTATCTGACATGAGGGCGCCACAACTTGTTGAAGGTTTCAGCGCAGGAGGTTTTCCTCGGGCTAAAATGAAGCAGATTCCAGTTTGCTTAAAAGTGTTTGTTATATTTCTATTTTTTTAACGTCGGATTTGAGGCCGTCACGACATAGAAATACTTCGGTGGCATAGCCGATTCACAAGGACACTTTTGACAATAGCAAAAATTGCGTTGCGTATTGTATACGTCACGATGGCATCGACGGGACCCACACCATTCTTCACAGATATTGGCTGGATCAAAATGGTGTCGGCACAATGTTTCAGACTTGTTGCCAATATCGGCACAATCTTGTGTGCTGCCTTGGCGGTGCATTTCCACGTCTTCGTTAACGAAGACGTGGCAATGTACTGCCCAGGCACCACATTACGAAAATTCGCCCCCGCTTGCAAAAGATGAATTCATCTTTTGCAAGCGGGGGCGATTTTTGAACTCACAGTTGAACTGGTAAAACGGATGCAATCGCGACGCGTAATGTTGGGCTTGTGTCGAACGGAAAGTGCGATCGTAGTCGAAAAAACTATATTCTACCTCTTCCTAATCATACGCGACTTCATGTAGCGATGAATTATACTTGATGTTCATACCGCCGTACACCAGCAACAGTTTTACCAAAGCAATAAACATGAACGGCTACGAAATCATGGGTGTATGCGACTGCATCACCATTACGCCCCTTTCACAGCCTGCGACCGAAGGGCGCACCATTCGCCTATACAGCCTTTTACGCGGTTTCCTACACCATCGCTACAAGTGGGGTGTAAAGAAGGTGTGTAAGAGGTGTAAATCATCAGCACACCCTTCTTACAGGCACCGATATTCAGAAATTGAGTAAAAAGGTTTAAAAAAGTGTTTTTTTTTTATAAATTACACTCTTCTGATGCGATTATGGGTGTTACAATGTTTAGAGTGTTCCCGCGCCTCACTGTACGAAAAAGAGGAACTAAATAACTGCACAACATGTAGCGTCTACTGTACGAACCCAATTCTACGGTTTCTGGGCGGCCTTTAAGGATCATTATCTACATGCCCTTGCTGCGTTAGCCATGGCTCAGCGACATTCTGTTGATTTCGAAATAAATTCATAAACGTTTTTCAGCCCTGACGATCGTGGACATCACCGCCCAGTGCCGACTCTTCTTCGTTGCTGGTACCGACACCGTGATGGCGGCTATGATGGCCCTGGCGTACCTGCTCGCTTTGAACTCGGAATGTCAAGAGAAGCTCATCAATGAAATTGACGCTGCCGTGAAAAAAGTAAGACCGGGGACATGTTTCCGTCACATTGCGCTTATTATGAAAAATGAGGCAATGATTATAAGCCTGGCATAACTTGCATAATAGTTAGTGATCATCAATCTTGCGTTATTCTTAGGAATATAATTTAGTAGAGCCGTGTGGGAACATCCACTGGGTATCCACCATCAAATAATGTTTTCGGTGCTGGGTTATTATAAACTAGAAATAAAAGGACGCAAAGGTCTGTTATCCTCCCCAACGGCAATATGTCGGGGACGAGAATAATTAGCTATATCAGTACTCGAAAACATAATCAAATGTATTAATCATATATTGGGTTAATACAAGGCATCCTTTTTTTTTATTTGGAGAAGGCGGTCGTTACTTGTTGAGATATTTTTTTTTATTTCTCGAAACAACATTGAAATTCGTGCGTTCATTATTGTCAAGGTTAGCTCACAGGACGATTGATTTGAATCTGGCTGCTTGGCGAATACTTAATGTTCCCCCTTATGACTAGTAGAAGGTCGGGTGTTTGTGATTTGACTAGGATTACGTGTTTTCAGCTTATTTTTTGCGAAAAAAATTTTTTTTCAGTTTGTTTATCTTTGGAAAGCCAGAGTTTATCGGTTTCCTTAAGTGTCCTTAAGTGCTTTTATTCTTTCTTTGACTCTTGTACCTTCACCAACCCGCTCTTTGTTCTTTATGTTTTATCGGAGTTTATGTTTGCTAAATTTTAAATTCTTCGAAATTAGGGGCTTATTTTACATACTTCTTTTCCAAAGTAAGAACGTATATTAAACGACACAAACGTCCATTAAATTCATTAAAAATTCACCAGTCTCGAGACATATTTATGCAGCTGCTTGGGTACTGAGGGCCTTGTTGGAGCCTTGTTATTGGAGCTACTAACTGTCCAAAAACAAGTCTCGAAAAAAAAAAAAAAAAGCCAAACTCCTCGACACAATGTTTTCAGCTGTCCTTTCTATCCTATGGAATATACTTGTTTATATCTTTAACTGTTATAAAAGCACAACCCCTCTTTCCTCTAAGAAACGCAAATAGCATGGTTCAAACTGGAAAAGGGAACAGTGCCTTTTATGTGGTCCAGAAGTGCACTGACCCATTGCATTGTACAAACCTTGACGAGATGAACGAGAAACTATATTGTCATTGGTCCAAAATGAGGAAAAACTGTATGGACTCTTTGTCAGAGCCACTAACCCTGTGCTCTGAAAACATTTATACGTAAATTACCTTCTTTCTTCTTGATATTTATTTTGCCATCATGACCTCAAAAGTCGGAATTAATCGGACAAATCCCAATTGTCAAACCCTTTACAGGCGAGTGTTTTTCGGAGTTTAACGAATTTATCCGAAAACAAGCAAAAATAGAGAGAGTGCACAATCAAAAGCTACCAAACATTTTTTTCTTGCGTCAAATCTGCAAAATCCGCGGCGTTGCGCAGTAGGTGGCGCTTCGTTCGTCATATTTAGCCCTTGCCTCAGTTACGTTCTACGACGAAAACATCACCGTTTCCAAAACACGCGACATGCAAACAAAATCTTATTTATTAATGTCTGTATTCCTAATGCTGTGTTTCGTTTGTGAAATGGGATCTAGTTTCTTCTGTCATCATCTTCAACTCTGGCGTTTAAAACTTCACCCGGAAATATAAATATTGCTGATATTTTAATTACAATATTTTAAATACTAGTGATTTGGTCGTGGCGTTCATTTTCCCACAGAATAATGACTGGGATCGAAAGCTTAGTCATTAGGCTTTATTCACAAATCATTCCAGAGGTTTCTTACGACTTTAAAATAGCTAGCATAAATATATTATATGTGGTTTGGACTTTATTCAAACGTTCCTAACGATGTCAGCTAATGTATAAAAAGAGGAGATTATCCAGGGATGTGCACCTCTTGACGAACAAAAAAACTAAAATACCATTGTAGCAGCCGGAAACATCAAGCGTGTAAAATTGAGGAAATCGGAGAGCTAGAAAAGCTGAATCCGAAACGTTTAAAAAGAAAAAAAAAATAGGTCCTTGAAAAAAACATAAAGGACTCTTCACTCACGTATTGTTCATGAGAGCACGCAATGTCTACGTAAATCTTCAGCGTGCATTGAAGCATAGTCCCTTACATTCTAACTCCCTTTTTCCTCCTCCAGGATGGGGTAACATACGAGAGCATTCAGTCCATGGTGTACCTTGAAGCCTGTGCAAAGGAAGCGATGCGAATGTACCCAGCTGCTATGTTGTGAGTGACCCAGAGATTACAATTATTACGGGTAGAATAGACACAAGCATATTGACGTGAGATCTGAAAGCCTGGCTAAATATATCCAGCAGAGTGATTATAGATTAAGCGCAGAACACATTTCATGCAGGCACGTTTTCACGTTCTTTGCACACTTGCATGGGAGACGTAATTACACTTTATGCAGATTCTCATTGTATTAAAAAATAAGGCAATATATATAAAGTAAAAAAATGAAACAAAAATTATAATTTGTTTGTTGGGTTGTGAGTGGTGTTTTTCGCTGCTCTTAGACAATGTATTCCATATTTCTTTCGAGTAAAAAATGCATTGTGAAGATCTCTTTTGAACAACTCTATCCTCTGAACACGTCCTTCGTTACTTCATAGCCTGATGAGGACTTGTACTGAAGAAACGACGCTCGCTGGAATCAACTTCAAACCTGGAATGAATGTGGATATACCAATTGCCGGCATCCACTATGACCCGGAGTTCTACCCTGACCCCGAATCGTTCAAACCGGAAAGGTAAGCATACATCTCTTATTTTCTATTTGCACTATGAGCAAGACCAGTTGGATCTACCGAGGACTAGCGTGTTGGTTGGGCAATGGAGCGGTAGAAAGTGCCAGAAAACGGCGAGAAATGAGGGCGGGAGGGGGAGCACTACAGGTTACATCAAGTATTGGACAGAGTTCGTGAGGCCATTGAAGAGGAACTATAATGTTTGCATTCTTGGATGAATTGAAGTGTATTTGTTTTGTTTCCGGTGCCTTCTTCTCAATGCACGTTTCGACTGTTTGTGAGGTATGGTTTGGCGTAGTATTCTGCATCATATATATATATATATATATATATATATATATATATATATATATATATATATATATATATATATATATATATATATATATATATTGTAAGGAAGACAGAAGCTCAACGACCGCTTTCAGTGATGATTATATTCGAACTGGCCCGCGGTTGCGAGCACGGGCCACACGAGCTATCGGTGATGACGATGATGGGGTAGATATGACGATGGCCGATGACGACGATGAGGGTGTTCATCACATCACCCCCCTCCTCGGGGGGGGGGGGGAGGGGGGGGAAGGGGGAAGCTATTGCAGTGGTGGGTGGTATGGTTTCAAGCGGTTCACGTGTAGAACTTCCGAAGGTCGACGGCGGGCATCCGAGGAGGAAGAAATGGGCTCAGCGAGGTAGGAGACAGGTGATGTTTTCTCGGTGATTCGATAGGGACCGATGTACTTGTGGAGGAACTTGTCCACATGGCCAGGTTGTCGGGCTGGTGTCCAAACCCACACAAGGTCACCAGGGGAGTAAGAAGTGTTCGTGTGGTGCTTGTCATAGCGGTCCTTGGTGACCTGTTGATGCCGCGACGTGCGGAGCTGCGCGAGCTGGCGGCATTCTTCGGCGCCAAAGATGAAGTTCTCTAGGAGTTCACTTTGATTGTTGATTGAAGGAGCGACAGGAAAGATGGTGTCCATTGTGCATGATGCTTCGCGTCCGTACACTAAGTGGAAAGGGGAGTAGCCCGTGGTAGACTGGAGGGCAGTGTTATAGGCAAAAGTTACGAACGGGAGTACAGTGTCCCAGTTCGTATGGTCGGGGGAAACATACATGGATATCATGTCTGCAAGGGTCTTGTGAAAACGTTCGGTTAAACCGTTTGTCTGTGGATGATATGATGATGTTGTTTTATGAATTACGTTACAGGCTTTCAGAATAGCTGTAAGTGTACTCGAAAGAAACTGCCGTCCTCGGTCGCTTAAGAGGACTTGTGGCGCACCATGACGTAGAAGTATGGTGTGTACAAAGAATTGAGCAATTTCTTCAGATGTCGCAGAGGTAAGCGCGGCAGTCTCGGTGTATCTAGTTAAGTGGTCAACGGCCGTGACTATCCACCGATTACCATGAGAAGAAACGGGGAACGGACCGAACAAATCGATTCCTACTCGTTCAAGAGGCGCACTGGGGCAAACTAATGGTTGCAGCAAACCAGCAGGGGCAGTCGTTGGACGTTTTCTACGTTGGCATTTCAAGCAGGACTGAACATATCTAAAAACAGTTGTCTGAAGCTGCGGCCAGAAGTAGCGTTGCCTAATGCGAGCGTACGTTTTGTTAAACCCCATGTGTCCTGAAGTAGGGTCATCATGAAAAGATCGAAGAATGTCAGTGCGCATATTACGAGGAACTACGAGAAGCCAGCGGTATCCTGAAGGGGAAAAGTTGTGCCGGTAGAGTATACCATCTTGGAGAGAGAAGTTCTGTAACTCTTTTCGCAACTTTTTGTGAACGAAGTTATTTGGTTTCTTAAGGTGGTCGATGATGCCTTTGATCCATGGGTCATTGGATTGCTCATGTGTAATAGAGTCAAAATGGAGTGCTGAGACATCAAAAACGTCATCCATGTTTTCAAGCCGTTCATCTGGTTTGTCTACTGGACATCGAGATAGGCTGTCAGCGTCTGTATGTTTGCGCCCAGATTTGTATACTACTGTGTAGTTGTATTCCTGAAGCGCAAGCGTCCATCGACCAAGTCTGCCAGTGAGATCTTTCAAGGAAGAAAGCCAACATAACGCGGGGTGATCGGTCACAATAGTAAAATGTCTTCCGTAAAGATATGGCCGGAATTTGTTAATGGCCCAAACGACAGCTAGGCATTCTTTCTCGGTTATAGTGTAATTCTGTTCGGCGGCGGAGAGCATTCGGCTCGCATAGGCCACAACATATTCTTTTAGTGTGTTGGGATCGCTCTGCAATAGAACAACACCAAGGCCATATCCACTGGCGTCGGTGTGCAACTCTGTAGGGGCAGAGTCATTAAAGTGCCCCAGGATTGGATCGGACTGGAGAGTGGCTTTGAGAGAGTGAAATGAGTCTCGACATTCAGGGGACCAGATGAATGGTGCGTTGGCCTGTAACAACCGTGTAAGTGGGGCAGCCAGTTGGGCGAAGTGAGGTACAAAACGGCGAAAATACGAGCAGAGTCCTAGGAAACTACGAAGTTGTTTGATATTAAGAGGAACAGGAAATTCGTTTACTGCCTTGAGCTTGTCTGGGTCGGGTCGAATGCCATCTTTGTCCACTAAATGCCCAAGGATCTTAATTTGTCGAGAGGCAAAGTGGCACTTTTTTGTGTTGAGTAGGAGGTTAGCTTTTGTGAGACAAACGAACACTTCGGACAGGCGAAGGAGATGGTCGTTAAACGTACGAGAAAAAATAATAATGTCATCAAGGTAGCAAAGGCATATGTGCCATTTAAGGCCACGGAGAACGTTATCTATCATGCGCTCAAATGTTGCCGGCGCATTACAAAGGCCAAAAGGCATCACGTTGAATTCAAAAAGACCGTCAGTTGTAATGAAAGCTGTTTTTTCTTTGTCTTCTTCCTTCATTGGTATTTGCCAGTAGCCGGTCTTTAAATCCAGGGATGAAAAATATTCGGCTCCTTGTAGGGTGTCTAATGTGTCATCAATCCGTGGTAAAGGGTATACGTCCTTACGAGTGATCTTATTGAGTCTACGGTAATCAACGCAGAAACGTATGCTGCCGTCCTTCTTTTTTACAAGGACTACTGGTGAAGACCAGGGGCACGAAGATTGACGGATGATCCCCTTACGCAGCATTTCTGACACCTCTTGGTCAATAATACGGCGTTCTGAAGGAGACACGCGATATGGGCGTTGGTGAACTATTTCTCCAGGAGGCGTATTGATCGTATGTGCTACCGAGTTTGTTGCGCTTGTGAAGGACGTGTAAACGTCAAAGCGCGATTGGAAACGAGTTAATAAATTAATTAATTGCTTTTTATGAAACTCTCCCAGGTCAGAGTCAATGGCATTCAAAAGTATTTGGTTGGATATAACAGGCAACGTTGGAGGGTCAAAATGATGTGTTGATTCGAGCGAAGCAAGTTCCAAAGAATTATGTGGTTCGATACTTGCGACGACTGTGTCCTTTAAGAAAAGAAGTGGCTGGTGTGTAACGTTACATACAGGGAGCACTGTTTTGCCATCGGTAAGTTTAGATAGGGCATAGGGTACGATGAACCCGTGCGATAGCAAGACGGTAGACAGAGCAGTTACTAGAAAAGTCCCCGAAAGGCTTTGTTCGCTCGAAAAATTCATCAGGAAAGATGCTAGCGGGGGAATGACAGTATCCTCACAGGCCCGTAATTTGGTTTCAACGATTATGGAATCAGACTCGCGGTTATTTGAATCCCCCAAACTGACGCCTTTGCAATTAATGACAGCTTCAGCAGATTGAAGAAAATCCCAGCCTAGAATCAGGTCGTGTGTACAAGACGACAAAACCATGAACTGAATGGTGTGGCACGTACCTTGTATGAAAACGCGAGCCGTGCACTGAGCGGTGGGATGAATGATGTCTGTGGACGCCGCCCGCAATGAACAACCATGTAGGGGTGTTCTAACTTTGTGAAGACGTAAGCAAATGTCCTCTCTTATCACGGAACTAGCCGCCCCTGTGTCAACTAAAGCGTACAGGAGTAAGCCGCTGATGTGTACCTCGATGAGATTGGATGGGTCAGAGGGAGGATGATGAAGACTCTCCCGTGACGCAGTTGCTCCTCCAACAACTGCGGAACCTAGTTTCCCGTATTGGGCCGCGCGTCTCTCCTCGAGATCATGGGTGAGTAAGAGCGAGGATACGGAGATGGGGAGCGGCGCCGTGGAGCTTCCGGACGACGTGCTGGATAGGGATCCGGGGGTGGAGACTGATCCCGCGGCTGGTTCCAATACCCTCTGTTGTTTCGATCTCGACTATAGTAGTCGCGGGTTTCGTAGTCCTGTTGTCTTCGTCGGCAAACTCGTGCCACGTGGCCGGTAATCCCACAATAATGGCAGATTGGACGCGGCCGATATCCCCAGGATCCGTAGTTGGGATAAGTGGGGCGGCTGCTCCAAGGGGGTAAAGGACCCCTGTTAAAAGCAGGCGAGATAGAAGCCAGAGCAGGAAGGTCCGGAATCAGTTGGGGAACTCCCGAACGAGAAGTTTCATCAGAAGTTCGAAGTCCATCGGTGACTTTAGGGGAAGTCTCTTTTGGTGTGACGACAGAAGCAATCTCCTGTTGGATAATGCGGCGCAACCCGCTGTCGTCGCTCTCAATCGTCTGGTGGCTTGCAGCAGGTCGGAGAAAATGTGAAAGTTCATCTCGTACAATTTTCTGTATCATTTGCTTCAGGGTATCGGTCGATAAAGAAGGCATGGTAATTGATGAGCCGTCATGCAGTGCTCGAACCTGAAGGCGGGAGTTGCGGGCCTCATCCAGCCTTTGGCAATGCGTGGTGATGTCCTTAACAGTCGTGGGATTTTGCACAAGAAGGACGTTAAATGCCTCTTCAGAGATCCCTTTCATTACATGGCGGACTCGGTCGGCCTCCGACATGTCCTTGTCGCAACGGCGGCAAAGTGCGAGGACATCCTCGATGTAGGAAGTATACGTCTCGCCAGAAGATTGAATTCGAGCTGCCAACTTTCGTTCAGCTACAGCTTTACGATTGGCGGGTTTGCCGAAGATTTCGGCTAGCTGGGTTTTGAATAGCAGCCATGTCACGATTTCATCTTCATGGTTGGTGAACCAGATCTTGGCCACATCGGAGAGATAAAAAATAGCATTCCGCAGTTTCGCCTGGTCGTCCCACTTGTTATAAAGACTCACTCGCTCGTAGACGTCCAGCCAGTCCTCCACGTCGTCCTCTCGGAGTCCGGCAAAGGTTTTGGGATGTCGGAGCTGGCTGGGGGCAGGGCTGACTGCAGCTGCAGAGGCAGCGGAGGAGGATTGGCCACTGCTGGTCATTGTCACTATTCGCCTTCTGGGACGAAGCTCCAGAGTGATGGAACGTCGCTACTGGGATTGTGACCCCGCACCTCCACCAATAATGTCAGGAAGACAGAAGCTCAACGACCGCTTTCAGTGATGATTATATTCGAACTGGCCCGCGGTTGCGAGCACGGGCCACACGAGCTATCGGTGATGACGATGATGGGGTAGATATGACGATGGCCGATGACGACGATGAGGGTGTTCATCACAATATATATATATATATATATGTAATGGGAATGAGTGAAGATTGACAAGTGCAGCCGTAGTAATATTGTGAACGCAGAGGGGAGAAGGTGATTATTGAATTTATTGCATTAAAGCTAGGGAAAGTGAAAGGGAGCTGGCGAAAATCCCTAGCTTTAAAGCAATAAATTCACTAATCACCTTCTCCCCTCTGCGTTCACAATATATATATATATATATATATATAAACGAATATGTGCAGATGAATGAACCGTACTTAATCCAATGAATCAAAGAATCAAAGTTTTCAGGAACCCGCCGAAAGCCAAAAAACGGCGGAGCCGGGATTTGAACTCTGTGCCTCCCAATGTCCGGTCGGGTAGAGGTTAGCACACCCGACCGGACATTGGGAGGCCCAGAGTTCAAATCCCGGCTCCGCCGTTTTTTGGTTTTCGGCGGGTTCCTGAAAACTTTGATTCTGTGATTCATTGGATTAAGTACGGTTCGTTCATCTGCACATATTCGTTTATATCCTCCTCGGAGACCACGTACGATGACGTGAAGTGCCCGTGTTGTATATATATATATATATGTGTGTGTGTTTTGTTTTACAGGCTAAAACGGTGTAGTCATAACTCTATACTGTACTGTATATCATACTCTAATATTTGTTCCTGAGGCTGCCATCAATATAATAGACACTCGCATACAAATTTTACTGGAAGGTTTACGCCTATTTAGGCTGCTTTAGGAAAATGACAAAACAGCCTTTTCGGTTTTGTCAAGACCCGCCTGCGGTGTGAGATACTGCCACCAAGTTAAGCCTGATTCACTATGCGCGAGTTTGTTCGTGGCTTTGATGTTGCGACGTAAGGCGCAGCAGCTGTCGTCGGCATCTTAGCCCCACGGACGAATTCGCAACTGCGGCAACATACCTAAGAGAAGGCCGCTCGGCCGTTTTAGGGCACCCGAAAAATAAAGATTATTATTATTATTATTATAGCACCATGTGAACTGGCCCTAAGGCATGAACACATGTGTAAAGACTAAGCGAAAATTGGAAGAAATTTTGAATGCACACAAACTAAAGTCTACACTATTTGTTTTTCTGCCAAACCAAGCGGGAGAGAGTGAGCAAGTTCATACAGCCTTTGCCCCTTAACTACACTGTGGGGCAAGCTCTGGGAATGTGCAATGCATTAGCGGTGCTCTGCTCCAATGACGGCCTGGCGAAATTGGACAACCAGGTCTCTACAATAAACTTGTTCACTGTTCCGTCGGACTATGAATTCAAGCCTTAAGCGGAATATTACTCTGCAACGAGTTTGAAGTTATTTACCTTGATTAACTAGTCGTCTGTATCAAGTGATATTCCGTAAAAGTAATTACCACGTTAATATTTCTGTTTACAGTGTACCTCATAGGGTACCACTAGAGGGTCTGAACTGTGTCTGCTTAAAATCCTTGCAGATTCCTGCCTGAAAACAAGGATTCCCACACACCGTACACGTACCTTCCATTTGGAAGTGGGCCAAGAAATTGCGTGGGAATTCGGATGGGGTATCTGATAGTGAAGGTGGTTTTCGCCTGCCTGCTACAACACGTCAAGTTTGGCACCTGTCCTGAAACGATGGTACGAATCCTGGCTTGCTCTACTTCCCCAAAGCTTTACTGTGCAGAAGAGTGCAAGACGCAGGCGCACACACGTGACTTTGAAAATTAGGTTTGATAGCTCCTGCTAATTGTGCTATTTTAGACTCTATTTAAGTTTCGCTTGAATTTACATCGAAATCACTTCCAAATTCTAAGTTGCTGCGTGTACGACGCTTGAACACTAGTGTGCAAACAATTAGCCTATAAATCCTTTCAGTACAACAGCACGCAGTTGATCAGGTACTCTTAAGCCAAATAATTGGAGGCTGTAGGAAACGTTTGCGTCAAGCGCATGAAAGAAATATTAGGAAGGACTTCAAAGATTTCCTAACATATGTTGTTTTGATTCAGAATCACTTTCCGCACAGCTTTTCTTCGCGGATACATTTGTATGGATATCTTCCCTTAGATTAAAGTAGAAAGGCACAATTATTCAGCTCAAGATCAGAGCATTTGCAAGGCTTATGCCTATGAGGTGCCAAGGCAACCCGATAATCGTAAGCAGATCTCGGAGCTGGCTAAAGGCTAGCACGTGAATCACCGATTTGTGTTTACCTAAGGCTCGTCCTCCCTTCCTCTCTGTCCCCCGTAAATCTAGGTATGTTACGATCATGATGACACGTCAACAATCAGCTGAAATTGGCATGTTGACTAATCCACAAGTTTTTTCGAACAGCCTCCACTCCTCACGTCGACACCCTTCTGCTTGTTACCATAGACACAAAGTGTGAAATATTGCTTAGTCTAGAGTATTCTAGTGCCATACCAACTCAAGCCAATGCAACATAAACCAACGACACTGCATGAACATACCTTTAGACTTTTAATGTGAAGCTACCGTAGCGCCATCGAAATGATGTCTATAAAACATCTTAATAGCGATTCACATTTGATGTTGGAGGGGGTTTTAAAGTAAACATCTTCGACAGAAGTTTGACTGGTTTGGGGAAGCTATCTGAAAAAGAGAAACCAAATGCTCAGAAACGAACAGTTCCCAACGTTTCGGGTTTGGCTTGAATACTTCAGAGGTGACTAAAAATGGAATGGGACAGCCAGAGCTTCGACCTGTTCTTCCTCTTCTACCGAGTTGATGTTTTGTTAACGTGACGCTGGCCATGGGCATAAAGAGATGGCAAGGCCCCGAGGGACCTGTTAATGTTCCCCGGTGTGTTCTGGATATGCCAGGATTCCAAGAACAGACGTTTTTGAATATGTGGCTCCGTGTCTATCACGTGCGCGTTTCCGAAGTTGATCCTATGGTCAAGCACCTCAGAATGTTCCGCGGGTTTAAATTATAAAGCGGGTTCCCAATCCATTATGCGCAAAAGTGGCAGACTGCTTAAAAATAGATTGATGAAAAGTGTTCTGTGGTGCATTAGCGCCCGTAAATTTTTCCGTAAATCAGGTTAAATTCAGACTTTGTTTGAATAGTTACAGCTTGAGCAGTACCTTTATTTCAACCAAGACGGTAGTGGCCATCTGTTATTACAATCTTGTCACAAGCAACACGCAGGACAATTATAGGTCTATGACATAAATGTCGATGTTTTTTTTTGTTCCAGATTCCTTTGAAGCTGAAACCAAGGTGTCTTCTGCCACTGCCAAGACGACGTGTAATGCTTCAGGTTTACTCGCGCACTTAGTGGTCAACATGGATGCTATCATCTTTATTTGTATGGCCATTCCGTTATCACACTCAATATGACATGAAACACCAAATCCCGTATTAATCTACATTTAAAGTCGCTACAAGTTTTTTCTTTTTTTTTTAATGTATCAAAAATACTGAAGTTTGGGAGACCACCTTCTCATTCCGTTCCTCGTTCGAACCTTAACTCTCTAAAAAAAAACTTGCAGAGGCGCGGGAAAAGCAAGGACTGTCTCAGCTCATATTGAACTCAATATTGCATATGCTTGAGGCGGGATATGGCAATGGAGGTTGCATAGCGCAGAGCTGTATGAACTATTTCGGGTTTAAATGACAAGAATGTTGTCATTGTGTAAAAATGTAAAAAAAACAATGATTTTGTGTAAATAAATAAAGTTCGTATTAGAATGTTTTTATAATATTTGTTTTCGTTCTGTTCTGTTGCCGCTCCCTAGTGAAAAGTTTTATTTGTTCAAGAAAACTTCATCCAATGAGCGCATATGATAAAATAAGATCATATAAGAACGTATACGAACCGCATAAGAACTGACTAAAGAATGTATGAATGAGGATAAGAAAAGGCAACCAAGAAGGAACTTATAGACAAAGAAAACCAAAATCAACAAAGCGGAGCACCTTTACGACTATGTCTATTATTACATATATTTTGCTTATTGTGATTTTTTCCCTCAGAATATAAATAGACGTTGAAATTACCCTTAATACTATAGAAAGTTTTGTTGGATTTTGTTTTAAGCCCTTGAAACAGAGTTGAATACGTATACTATTACAAAGAAACTATTGGGCATGCCCGAGCCATATATTTCATTTTAACGTGAAGTGTGTACACCTGAGTGTATACCTGCCGCGCCCCACGCACAATCCTTATTGGCTTATGTGGGCACGAATTGTAACATGTTAAAAACTGAAAATAATATGTGTGGATTCATGTAATATGAACAGTATAAGATTATTTAAGTTATAAGAAACTACTTATTCATATCATCTCTTACGTTCTTATACGGTTCTTATATAATCTTATATGAACTTATTTGATGATTTCCGCCCCTTGGATCAGGCAACTTCTTATACAAATAACATGTTTCGCTAGGGTATTGAGAAACAGGACGTTACGACTTGCTTCCTTGAAATTAAATCAGTCGTCAGTGTTCAAGACAGACTAAAAGAGACAAATTGGCAAGGATAGAACGCGTATGTGCTTAAGACGCAAACACACGAGTGACTTATTTATCCTACTCTAGAGTAACAGGGCTTACTTCAAGATTCGCCTGAATAAGACCCGATTACTTGATTTCCCGCCAGCCAGCTAAGAACACCTTCGAACCTTAGGGGCAGTAAACCCTTTAGCTAGTTTCTAGAACAGATTTGTTGCTTGGTTTCTAGGGGTCCGCCACATAGGAACCTACACGCGGTGCAGAGGAACCCCCACAGGTAAACAATGTCTGCAAGGACTGAGCTCCCTCCGAAATCGTTCCGAAAATCTTGGAAGCTACAATGTCGCCCATTAACTTTGTGTGCGAAATAACTAGGTTGAAACAGGCTGCCTTTATTCGCAATAGGAGTATGCGATCCCTTACAGAAATGTCATATCTGGACTTATATTAAAAAATACAGATATGGATATATAAGGAATTGGGCAGATATGGCCAGATATGCACAATCAGGCCATATCCGGATGGATATAGCCATATCTGCCCAATTCCTTATATACCCACATCTGCCCAATTCCTTATATACCCATATCTGCCCAATTCCTTATATACAATATATAGACTGCTTTATATGATCCCGTGTTTGGGTCTGGCGGATAGGGTACCCACCCCATATAAAAAAAATTTCACGTGATGCTCCTTCTAGCATCACATGAAAATTATTGCCATGGGGAAGGTACCATACTTTCCAGGTCCTGACATGGGATCATATAATGCATTTCTATGAATAACCACATAATATACATTTTGCTGCTATCCCACACTGCCAAACGTGTGCTTACATAGATATATCTACAGAATAGGCCACTGACCAATCCTTATTGCTCTGGTTCGGAATGTGTCATTCCGACAAATATGTACGCTACAAATATAGAATGCAGGCGATCGCAAGCTCGCAAACATTGTAACATATCATTCGACGTCGGAAAGTAAACAGCCCTTTGGCGGGATTGGTTGTCGAGGGAGCAGACCGAGAATATAGTTGGCAAAAGAAGTTTTATTTATAAAAGCGCCAAAACTCTAAACAAGTACTTCCCCCATTCAAGAAAAAATGATAAGAAACAAAACTGTAATATAGCACAGACAAACATTAAAATAGACTAAAAATGTAATAGTACAAAGACACCTATTAAAATAAAACAAACGGAAGGCAACAATTAAGTTGTAAACTATACGAAAGTTTCAAAGTCGTTGATTCCTACTCACAGAGTCACAGTCCTGATTCAATTCTCCGGTCGAGCACAGCAGTTTTGACAAGGGCTTCCTTGCTAGCCTCGTTGTTGAAGTCCTTCCTTGCACCGTGTGATATGTTCAAAGCCCCCAGTCGCTCCTCGCTGGCCTTGCTTTTCCGTTCGGTCGCCGAATCTTCCCGTGTGATTAACACGTCACACACGCACACAGACACAGTTGTTCGCCGCGGAAGCAATACAAGATGAAAAGGTCATACTGCTCCTTGAACACGACGAGGTCACCACTGTTTCCCGGACTAGGAAATGACGAGGGCATCATATCTTTTACTAAAACCTCATAAAAATAAAAAAATAAAATAATGAACACATAAGAAACGAAAACAAAAGGACTAAATCATGAGAAAAAAATGAAATAATGAACACACAAGTAAAAAGCATAAAAACACGAAGGACTTGCACAGACAGCCACATTTGTTCAATTAACAATGACGTTAAATTCTGATAAAAATATTCCTGCTGCGCTAAAGATCACCAATATGGTGTGTAAACTAGGCCACCTTGAGCAAAGCAGGAATATTTGTGATCATAATCAAATGTCATTGCGAACTCAAAAAGTGTGGCTGCCTGCGTAAGTCCTTCGTATTACTATTCTTCTGAATTCCGTGTTCATTATTGTGGCTGTTTGGGACCAGGCGGAACTTGGTGCTTTTTCCATTCTGACCTTACTTCGGACAGCTTCGTACCCATAGAAAAACCCACTAGCTTCTCTACATAATCACACTCCTCAAAAAAAGAAAGAAAAAAAAGAAAAAAATGCGTGTATGTTTACACAGTCGGAAGTTAGCTTGCCTCAGTGGGCGTCTGCTGTCTCAGCTGTAGAGTAATTTAGCCAGCGCGGTACAACCGCTGGCCTGGGGTCTTTAATGCGCACCACGCAGTAGTGACACACAACCGCACGCCATAATGATGCTCATCCAGATCGAAACGGGCAGGGGCGGGGATCCACTCCTCCTTGCTTCCCTTGAGGCACTGACAAATAAAAATCAAAGGTAGGGTCAATTATGTTAACGCAATATACTTTAAACACGTAGCATGAGTGCTGGCAAGATATTTGCTGCCTTCAATCTAGGTAAGCTTGGAAATTTACATGCTAAATAACAAGTAACTTAAAAGCTGAAATGTATTTCGATGGAACTACAAAAACCGAACACTAGCTCTGCAAGTATAGTGCTATCTAGTACACCATAATTGAGTAGAATCGAATTACAGCGTTACCCTTACAAAGACTGGACCAAAACAAGTATAGACTCTGCCGTGCCACTACAACAGAAACAATGGTATTGTGATCGCGTGGAGATCAGAGTTCGAAAAAATTGTGACAGGCTTTGGCACGACAAATATGCCAATGTCATTATTCATTTTCGCACATTCTACGGTGACAGTGCAGGGAAACAATCACACACCAGATACTCAGAAAGACAAGCACACGCGCTGAACGTATAACTCTTGTGTATTCGACTAATATAGATACCAAAAACTGGCGAGACACTACCTTAATTGAGGACATGCATGTACATTTCCCTAGAAGCTTGTAATTAATACTTCAAAGCCTCAAAAAAAAGACACCAGTAGGAAGAGAATAAATGCTTCACCATATAAAGCAGCCTGAGTGTTTCTGGAGGTGTGAAATTCGTTACACGTACGTTGGATCATATGAAACACGTGTACAGCAAATGATCTTTAGAGCTAGACATTTCGCGAGGAATAAATGCCAGCGTCAAAAATTATTTCGCGGGCACAAATTCTTGCGATCGGAAGTGGTATGCTATGCATTAATCACCACGGGGTGAATTCATCGCGGCACCAATTTTTGGCAATTTTTTCTGGGTACGAACTGCGAAAATGAAGGCGTCTGCAGACGACTGGGGCGGCGAAAGCTACGGACTTGCTCGATCAATCAATCGCTGTTTTTGTCGGGTCCAGCTCTCACCAGGCAGGTACGGAGAGTGGCATCGGCGATGGAGGGGCACCGGGCTCTTCCAGACATTCTAGCTTACCAGTAAACAATACGGCGGAGGGAGAAAATCAACCCCCCCCCCCCCCCCCCCCAAATCCGTCTCCCAAAGAGTTCCGCCGCAACTGATCGACTTTAAGCGAGTAGACAGCCTCTGCATCGAGGAAAAAAGAAAAACAACCTCGCATAACACCATTCGCGCACAATTAGTAATACTGGTAAAAGCAAGCGATCTACAGACAATAACAAGCCTTTTGAACGCAGGAAATAATCTAGCCCAAACGAACAAAACACGAACTTACTTCGATCCCGTTCCATGATCTTGGCTGTTGAGCAGATTTGACGTAGTTCCACGTCCCACAGTCGCTTCCGTCTTTGTCGGACACGTTTGAAACTAAGGCAAACTCCACGCATCACCACTAATCGGGTAATTGGACCGTTAGCCGGCCGTGATCACAGGCATAAAAACGCACACGGCCGGCAAAACGTGCGAAAGAGAGGCCGTTGCTTCGATGACATTGTATTCGTATCTTCAACACGTTTGAAATAAAACGATCAGCAAACTGCATTATAAAACTCATAAAAGACACAGCAATAATAAACTATTTCGCGACAATATTATGAATAAGTCCTGAACATGTTGCAAAATAATAAATACGAAACTAAGGCTGCAATAGTGAAAAACAAATTCAGCAGACATGCAACCTTCTAGAAAGGGAGCGAAGGTCATCCGGGCGGCGGTAGTGTAGTCTGGTGGCGCTCTGATTTTCTGAGCTAGTGGTTGTTGGTTCGAATCGCGGTAAGCGCTATTTGTTTTCTTAAACTGTTTTTTTTTTAATTTTAAATGTTTTTCTCAGCTTTTCGTATTCCTTCTTATTATTTTTAATATTTTTTCTCACCTTTTTGTATTTTGTTTTATTTTATTTCGTATTATTTTATATTATTTTGTATTATTTTGTATTATTTTAAATATTTTTTCT